AGATATGAGGGATGCCAACATTATAATTCTCTTTAAAAATAAGGGAGATAGAAGCGACTGCAACAACTATAGCGGTATCTCTCTATTGAATTATGTGGGAAAAGTCTTTGCTCGTGTTATCCTAAAGAGGTTGCAAATTCTAGCGGACAGAGTATACCCGGAATCACAGTGTGGGTTTAGGGCCTAGAGATCAACAGTTGATATGATCTTCTCCATCAGGCAGCTACAAGAGAAGTGCAGAGAGCAACAGAGTCCACTGCTCATTGCTTTCATAGATATCACTAAGGCCTTTGACTATGTCAGCAGAGATGGTCTATTCGGGATCCTTGAAAAATATGCATGCCCACCTATACAACTGAGCCTAATCAAATCCTTTCATGAGAATATGAGTGGGACCATAATATATGAGGTTTCATCATCTCGACCCTTCCAGATTCGAAATGGAGTAAAGCAAGGATGTGTTCTGGCTCCCACGCTGTTTGGCATCTTTTTTACCCCATTATTGAGGCGTGCATTTTGGACAGCAACTGGGGGGATATACCTCCGTTCGAGGTCAGATGGCAATCTTTTTAATCTGTCCAGGCTACGTGCAAGGACGAAGGTGCACACGAGATGTCTCAGGGATTTTCTGTTTGCGGATGATGCAGCCATTGTGGCACACTCAGAGGATGATCTGCAGATCCTGATGAATCGCTTTGCAAATGCTTCCAAAGAATTTGGGCTTACCATCAGTCTGAACAAAACACAAGTGATAGGATTGAATGTTGGAAATCCACCAAACATTAGTGTGTATGACCATTAGCTGCTGGCTGTAAATGAGTTTGAGTACCTAGGCTCACGTATCTCAGGCAATCATTCTCTGGATGCAGAACTAAACAAAGTTATAGGAAAGGCCTCTGCTATGTTTGCAAATCTCACAAAGAGATTCTAGTCAAACAAAATGCTAACTGATAATACAAAAATTAAGGTTTATGAGTCTTGTGTCCTGAGCACTTTACTGTACGGCTGCGAATCCTGGACTCTCTATGCTCCACAGGAAAAAAGACTGAATAACTTCCAAATGCGCTGTCTGAGACGCATCCTTGGTATATTATGGCGAGACCTTGTCTCCAACGAATGTGTGCTCACAAGAGCAAAAATACCATCAATGTATTGTAAACTGAAGCAAAGACGTCTGCGCTGGCTGGGACATGTCTCCCGCATGGAGGATGGTCGTATTCCAAAAGATCTCATATATGGTGAATTGGTAACTGGGAATAGACATACAGGAAGGCCAAAGCTGCGCTATAAAGATGTATGCAAACGTGACCTAATATATACCAACATAGGCACAGAGACATGGGAAAATTCAGCTGCAGATCGACTACTGTGGAGACAGAAAGTGAAAGACGGACTGTCACATTTTGAAATAAACCGAACACAACGAACTGTGGAGAGGAGACACCGGAGAGTAAAACTGCCTCACAACGAGGGAGTATCTGCTTTTGTGTGTATCCTGTGTGGCAAAGGTTGCCATTCCCGCATCGGACTTTACAGTCACAGCAGATGCTGTTCCCAAAGCCAGCGGCACATCTCGATATTCCCCACGGGACTGACGGATGCCATTATTATTAGTAGTTGTAGTACCAGCGGTAGTAGTAATAATACAAAGACAGACGGTGGTTATAGGAGCATCAATTATATCATTAGTAGGGACACTGCTAATGTAGTAATTAGCAGTAGTCGCAAAAGGTGTTCTGATATGATTAGAGGTAGCAGAAGTGGTGGTAAAGCAGTTGCTCTGCCCTAGTATAAGTTAGGGCTGTATCGAATAGTGATTTTCACTATTCGGCTGAATACAAATAGCTGGACCAACTATTCGGCCGAATACGAATACAAATAGTGAATCATCGTAATCAGGTGCTTTGCCGACTGGCATGGTCGATTATTTCTCACCAAAATCTGCGATCTCCTGCAGCATGAATTAGTTCGTGTGCTGACACACCTCCATGCAATGCAACAAGACTGTCAAGAATCTTCTCTCGTGTCTTCGTCTATCCCTCCTTCCACATATCTTTCCAGTGGTCACCACATGTTCCCTTTTCAATCATCTTATAACATGGCCGAAAAATGACGACTGTCTCCTTCTGATGTCTGTGAGTAGTTGTCTTCGCGCTCTTGCCGCCATCAAAACCTCTTGGTTGCTTTTTTGGGGGGGGGGGGGGGGGGGGGGGGGAGGGGGACTATCCAAGGTATCCAAGGCCTCAAGAAATTGTTTGGCCTGCCTACCGATTGTCCAGGACTTACAGCCATATGTTAAAACTGGATGTATGTAGCAAGCGAGAATTTTTTTCTAACTTTCAATGACAAAGATATATTGCATACAATGTTCTTCATTTTATGAAATGCAGTTTTTGCCTGTCCTATTCTGTTTCTTATTTCGGTAATTTATCTTCCATCTGATGTTATCCATGTGCCCAGATACCTAAATTTCTGTACTTGTCCCAAAATAAAACCATTGACTTTTATTACACATTTAGGAATAATTATTTTCTTTGATACCACCATTACTTCTGTTCCTACTATTCAAACTGAGGCCCATTCTTCTACTTTAGTGTATAAAACAGATCTTTAAAAAAAAAAAAAAAACATCCATAATGTCAAATGAACGCTGACATTTTACTTCACAAAATGTAGTACAGAATAGTAAACAATTAAAAACATTTCATGTCTTGCATCCTTCATTCAGTCAGTCAGTCTGTGGTAACTAATACCTAGGAATGAAAGTATTCTTAGTTTTATAACAAGTAACTAAACTTGTAAATTGTCACTTACAGCCTAGTTAATCCATGAAAGCGGCATTAGCTTTCAAACAATCGTTCCATGTGGTCAGCATTAAGGCAGTTTCTTGTCTCACTGAAGGTATTTCCAGCTGTACTAAAAAACAGACGTTCACTTGGTACGCTCGTAGGTGGTGCACATAGATAACGCTTGACAGCATGAACGGAGGTGGGAAATCTTGATATGTTTATTTGCCACCAGTCAAGAAACGGGTTTAAGGTAAAAACTACTCGTATTCGGCCCGACCGCAACTCTTCGGCCGAATACCGAATAGTTATTAGGTCAACTATTCGGCCCCGAAGCGAATACGAAGCATATATTCGGTACAGCACTAGTATAAGTACTAGTATTACTCGTAACAGTGGTGCAGCTGCAGGAGCAGCAGTAGTGATAACAGCAGTAAACGCAGTAACCCTGCTTTGTTCCAAACGAACTGGTGTTAAATTTCCTTTAGAGTAAACAAGGCAGGTCGAGGGAGCATCATGTTGCATGGGTAACATATGGTCTCTACAATACTGTCCGAGCTTTGAGCTATGGAGAGAAAAACCTCACACGGGCGGGGTTTGCTAGTCATACTCTCCATCGCCAAGGACTGCGACTTGTATACCCACCCCTTCATAGCGCAATATACAACAATCGCCTAGAAAGACGGAAAGGTGCCAATCAATCAATCAAACGCAGTAACAATAGTAGTAGTAGTAATTATAGCACTGTTACATTATTTGTAGTGATAACAACATTAGTAGTAGTAGTAGTATTAATAATTGTAGTGCCAGCAATCTTCTTCTTCTTCTTCACTTCCTCTTTTACCGCTGTAGGTGTCGAGGGAGATATAAGGTTCTGTTTCTAGCTCTTCTGGCCGCCTCGACCATAGGCACATCGTGCTGTTGTAGAGTTTCTCTGATGTTATCCTTCCATTGTGTTCTTGGTCTACCTCGTGCTCTACGTCCTTCTTCTCTTTCCATGTATGCATTGTATGGTATGGTGTCACAAGGCATTCTCTCTAAGTGGGCAAACCATTTCACTCGCTGTCTTCGTATGTAATCCAGAATTGGTTCTGTGCCGACTTTTTCTCTTATGATCTCATTCCTGATCTTATCTCTTATGGTCACTCCTACAACCCTTCTCAGACATCTCATTTCCGTGGTTACTAATTTTCTTTTATGGTTTGTTGTGAGTGACCATGTCTGGCAAGGGTAGCACAGAGTTGGAATAAATATGCTTTGAATGAGATTTCTCTTTGTGCTGATTGGGATTGTCTTATGCTGTAAGAGGGGGGCTAGCTGTCCCAATACTTGGTTTGCTTTACTGCATCTAATGTTTATTTATACAATTTTTCATCTTCGGTAAATATAGTTCCCAGATATTTAAACTTAGATACCTGTTTAATGTCTTTGCACTATATTGCTATGTTTAGATCTGTCTTCTTTTTTTCAATTGACATTACTTCTGTCTTTTCAGTGTTGATTCTCCTTTTATTTGTTTTACATTCTTTATTCATGGATGTTAGATGTTGTTGCAATTTCATGGCTGTATCTGCTATCAAGGCCTGGTCATCTGCAAAGAGTAATTCGTTGATCTTACTAACATTTTCATTCATGGGCTTGGCATTCTTGCATATAATGTTGATGTAGGTGATAACATCAATGGTGATAAGACACACCCCTGTCTTACTCCAGATGTTCCCTGATTTATTCTAACTACACTTCTACAATCCCTGTATAAACTTTTGCACACTTCGATGAGGTGTTCGCTTACTCGATATCTTGCCATTACTTTCCATAATAATTGTCTGTCGACTCTGTCAAATGCCATTTCCTGGTCTACGAATGCCACAAATAAGTTCTTATCGTATTCAATGTACTTTTCTATTAACTGTTTAAGTGTGAAGATTGCATCTGTGCAGCTTCTATTTCTCCTAAATCTCATCTGTTCTTCTGCCAGCTGTGGTTCTATCACTGGTCTCAGTCTTGTTTCTATTATTTTGGCATACATTTTGCTGACATGGCTTAAAAGAGAGATGCCTCGGTATTGACCGCACTCTCATTTGCTTCCTTTGTTCTTCCACAATGGTATAAATATTGCATGTTGCCAATCAATTGGGGCAGTTTGTTGTAACCATGCTGCATTAAATGCCAGCATTCTAAACATGCAAAAAGAACGATCTTGACATGACACAATTACTTCCCTTTATACTGTATATTGTCTCTGTTGTATCGACGCACTAACGCCAGGGCAGATCTGAGAGGCAACTCAGCGAAGTCCACCCTGTCAAACAAATTGTCACTTGTCTCTGGCAGACTATAATTTGCTTTCATCTTTCTGATCTCCAGAAAAGGTATTTCTTTCTTGGTTTCCTTAGTTCTTTTTTGAGACCGACGAAGCAATTCAGTGTCGTCAGGTTGTACTACTACAGCAACTCTCCTGAAGCCGGAAAATTGTGTTAGCTTTCTTTTCCTGGCAGAAGCGTATACATTCGTTTGATCCAAGATGTAATTTCTCTTCTTTGAAGCGGCAGTGCGAAGAAGTACATCAAAGCATTCGGTCGCCATTTCAATGAGCATCTGCCACCGGTCGGGGTAAGCTCTACTGGTTCCAACGACGCGCATTTGGTCAAGGATTAAGTCTGTCCCAAGAATGTTGTAGCGTTTTTCGGGATGCTGCTTCTGAAAGTTTGTAGCCCAAGTTGTTTTGCCTGAGCCAGGAAGTCCTACAGTCATAATAACCTCACAGTCTAGCTTTTTTAAAGGAGCAATGGCCCCTCTGACTCGGCTCACGACTGGGATGTGTTCTAAATACCTGAAGCCTCTGGGGGGTGTAAACCAAGCGCCTTGTTGTCCAAAATTTACTTTGATGTTGCAGTTCTTCAAATATACATGCGGGAACAGGGCGTTAATAGGATTGCCGATCGGAAAGTTAGAGAAACTGAATGCTGTTCCTAAATGTTGGCCGTTTTTCATGAATGCTACTTTAGCTGGCTTAGATTCTAGATCCAGCATGGCACCAATGACATCACCTTGTCCAAAATTCTCACCATATTCACTAAATTTTCCATCAGTTGAGAATTTCCCCCAGCCTCCGTAGCCGAAAGACCAGACGTCTTCACCCAAAGCAAAGGACGAAGTAGCTGAGGACCAGCCTACTCTGATAAGGTGCGAATGCTGTCTGTTCTGACCCTCACATCTGGCATCTTGGTAGGATTCTAGCTTTACCTCGAAGTAAACCTTGCCTTTGCAGACTCCGTGCGTTGCCCTGGCCCCAGCCCACATCAGACGAAATCCCAGGGGGTAGTTCAGCGTGGAGGCTCCATAGCCGTGGTCGCAAACAACGAAATTCAGGTCTGAGTTGTAATCGTCAAGGGCAACCCTTTGCTCCATGATGCACACTTGGAGGTAGCAAATGTCCTTAGAGTAGAAATGATATACATTTAAGATGTTTTACTTGAAAATGAATTTACGGATGACGAAATATGTTTTTAAATATATATTATTCAAATATCAAAGACTATATTTTATTTCGACCTTTCTATATGTCTGGTAAAAAATATTTTCTTTATGGGTGGTCATCAAAGTTCTGGTGATAAATATGTGATAAATATTTTTTTGATTGATATTTGTTCAATTGACATGTCACAAAGAGAGCATATTCAACATAAATAATGCAAAGTTTATGTTTCGATCTATCTTTATACAGTAAAACCGCTTTACGTTGAACGCTTGAGGGACTCTAGCGAACCGTGCAACTTACGGTGGTGGTCACTATTCAGAATGAGGCCTATTGTACTGATACTATATTTCATTGTACTACTTTAATTGGAGAACAAATTGTCACCTGAAATCATATATAATCACAATATCAAATTAAATCCTCAACTTCTGTGTCGTGGAAAACTCCTTCTTTATGAAAAGAAAAAGAAGTCAGTCTTGATCTGTGTCCTATTCTGGTTGCAAACTTGTGTGGAGAAAGCAGTCTTGCCGATGGTTTCATCACTCAGCGTACCTGGAATTTGTTGCATACCACATGACTTTAAGTGCATTATCCAATGCGTGACATCTTCTTTCAGACTTTATGTGTCATCGTCACTTGCTTCTTCAGCTTTCCTAGCAGGATCATGCGCTGTATTTGGTGGTCTTTCTGGGCATAAATCACTGTTGTTGTTGTTGTTGTTCGTCCATCACACGTGATGATGACCAGTTCTTTCATCAATCAGTGACTGGATTAGGTTTATGTGAGTGGGCAGATGGCTGATCAAGCCAGTTCTAGCAATACAAGTTTTTGAGCAGTGTGGACGGAATTGAGGCCGCATCTCTCTGGTGATTTGCTTCAGTGTCTTTCCTGGCTTGTCTTTTCTGAATTACCGCTGCATAAATCACTACAGGTTGCCACATCATCCATTGCGAAGATTTGAAAACGTTGAATTCTACAACTGACGTTAAACCGTCCGATAGTGCTAAAACGTCATGCTCTTGGGTTGTGACTTCTATCAACACTACGCATAATTTCCGGCTTAACTTTTTTGCAAGCAGAACTGATCTATATAAGCCGCCGTGGTTTAGCGGCTAGACGCTCGCCCCGGATCGGAAGGTCGTGGGTTCCGTTTCTGACGGGAGCCAGACTATTTTTCAAAAATGACCTTGACTTCCAGGTCGACCCAGCCTTGAGTGGGTACCTGTTACAGTCCTGAGAAGTAAAAGGCGGCCGGCGCGATGCTGACCAGGTCATCCCCCAAGTGCCGTTGTTCTATAAAATATAGGTCTACCCCAATAAACCCAATACGCCTGAAAGGAGTGGAAAAGGGTTAGTTACTTTGACTTTTACTAGAACTTATCTATAGAGCAGCACCCAGGGCATCTACTGGTGTAGCTGACGACGTTGCTTCCTCCAAGAAAAAACATATCAGTGTTCTAGTTTTAACTTACAGCCAGAGTTTAACCCCATACTGTATTTTGAATGCTTTGAGTATGCCTTGGTCAAGAGGTTTGATTTTTGAGGAAGTGTTTGAAGGCAGCAATTTCAGTGTCACGTCGGTGAGATTATCTATTTGTGACTAGGGCGGTGATGCTGAACTAATGTTTAATTTTATATTTAATCAGTTCTCTTACACTTAAACACGGCATGGACCTCTTAAGACTTCCCTTTACACCGCAAACATTTGTAACTTATCTGAGGCCCCTTCCCCAATATCAGTCTGCATGCGCGCTCCCTCGCGCGGTCGTGTGTGTGTATGTGTGTGTGTATTTTCCATGTATCAATGGCAAAGAGAATCACTAGTGTAGGGCTTTGGGGAAGATGTTAAACGTTCTATCCCGAGAGGGATTATATTGTACGGGCCACAATGTAACCTACGCCATCATCCGCAAAAGATGTGGTATGAAATGCATCAGTGATTACAAGACTACGACTTGCCGAGAAGGTCAAGCAACATCTTTATTGTGTGCAAAAAGGTGCTCTAAAGCCAATACCAATGCATTTCAGTTCTTAGTATCACCAAGATTCCTTCGACATGGTGGAAACGGCCATCAGATTTAGCCACTCCAGCAATAGAGTTCGTCAGTCTCCTGTAAAACGCCTTATCTATCTAATGGAGTCCAACTCGTCTATCGGACTTAACGTTCAAAGCAATTTTTAACGCTTTGGCTCTTGTATTATACATGTGTTATTCTTTTTATTGTTGTAAGAAAGAGGGTGGGTGTAGGCTAATTTTCATATGTTGCATTAGCACATATCTCAGAGCTTCAACTGGCCAGACATCGCTGTGGATATTTGTTTTGGCGATATCCGTTAAGTGATTTTGCTTATTCTTATTTAAATTTGTAACTTTGTCTTTTCACGGTATTACATGTGAACTAGTCATCCCTTGTGGGATGAAAGCTTTTGTTCTTTTGAAGCTCCACCTTGGGTTTTACCGGGAGCCTTGAATTAGCCGGGCCATAAATATGACCTAGCCATAGATAAAGCCTAACGGCTGAACGCGGTTTCTGGGACCTCTTCACGGGTGATCCTCATCCGCATGCTAGCACTTTGTGTCACTGGGTATTTATCGCTTGTGTGATGTCCTGGCGGGGTACATCTGCCTACCTCTTTTCACTAAAACACATTCCAGTGAACAAAGGGATGAGGAAAGTAATCTGGAATTCGATAGGACACACGTTCCAAAAACCTGATAACAATAAAACGAGAATATTTTCGCACTAGAATCATCACGATCAAAAACATAAAAGCATGCAAGAGTAAAGAATAAAAACACTATGCCACATGAGTTGGTTGAGATATATGCTTCACTGTAGGATAACGGGGGGAAAAGGGGGGGGGGGGGTAACAGAAGAGAAAAGAATGACGAAGATTCGGTTGTTTACACAGCAAGAAACAAAGCAAAAGAAGGTGATACTGATTATGCTGTAACAAGATATTTCTGTTTTAATCCTCTTCATTTCCACTCCTATTCGTTCTTAGTCCGCTGGATTTAGCATCAGCTGTACGCACAAGTCATAATTGTAACTGACTCACAGAGTATGTTGAGAAAGGTGAAGATAGGAATGCACCGTGCTTCAGAGATCCCAAGTAGTTGGCGTCTTTTCGATATTTACCCCAGGTTATGCTGGTGTGTTAGGAAACGAGTAGGCAGATAGACTAAACATTTCCGTAATCAGTCATACAAATCGTCAATTCCTGCGCAGTCGCCTTAACACATGCTGCTAAGCTCATTTACGGCTCTGAAGTCACGAGTGGGATCTTCTGCCGCCGAGCGACTGCGGGGCCAGAACGGTTTGTTTACCTGATTACGACAACGGTATGGTCCCAGAGTTAAATCTAAACTTGTTTCTAGCAGTTAAACTGTATAGAGCTAAATATCAGTGTGCATCATCGCCCGGATATGTTTGATTTTATGTCGCTGGAAGAGAATAGTCATTTTTGATAGATGAAGGGCTTAGCGCGTGAACTGTGTGCTAGTTGTTAATGCATTGCTATTTGTGAAGCATCGTTAGTTTTGTATTTAGTCAAATAAACATATGTTGACTGTGATAATTATGGTTCCGGTTGTTTTTATTAGGACTTGTGGTTAATGTACTGAGTTTCACTGATTCTATTGATTAGACTTCATACAGAACATCTCCTGTCTGGGTTAAGACACTATTTGGTCCTAGCCGCCCCCCCCCCCCCAATCCAAACAATTATTGTTTTCTATTCTTTTCTTGTTACAGAGGCAGCTTAAGTGTGGGTTCACATACACTCACCAAGACATTATGTGCTAAACTTCTTGTAGGTCTGGAGTAGAGACTGGTTCAAGGAGTAATTGTTTATTTTATCCTACATATTATCTAAATTCTTGTTTCTAATACAACATACAGCTTTCGTAGGCGTGGAGTAGAGATAAGTTCAAGGAATATATTATTTTATTATTTTTTATAGTGTCTATTCCTTATCATCTAATACCAGATCCCCCTTAGGCTTAGCTTACAGTACAATTGGCTTTAAAATACATTAAAATTTCGGAAAAGAATACGATGGGTATTCATTGTATTAACCGCACAATACACACAGGTAGAAAGACAGTCGATTGCTGCCAGTGCAGAGATCAATGCGCTTGTCATTGACAGTTTTGATGAGGATTGTGTATTGATATACATAGACGCAGCCATTATATGAGGACTGAAAAGTCCAAAGGCATTCACAATGCACTTTTCAAGGCAGAATAATCCATTAGGCTTGCGACGCCCTCTCTATGACTGCTAGCAGCATGACGTTGATAGCTTTAATCACAAAGCTAATCCAATGTGTATGCACTTATTGATTTCATGAGCATGATCTGGCAGTCGAGATAATTGATTCAATCATGGCAATAGTCCACCATGGGTATGCGGGTGCTATTTACAATGAAAGATCAGCCAGATCAACTGACACAACCATAGTTGCAGATAGCTGATATGCATCACACCAATTTGTTAGAGAAAAGAGCTGATCTAAAGGTATTAGGGGCAGTGCATCTACATCACTGTTAAGAACTGAGAACTGCGAGTAAAAATTAGTTTCAGCTGTATGCACATGTCATAACTGTAACTGATTCACAGAGCATGTTGAGAAAGGTGGAGATAGAAATGCACCGTGCTTCAGAGGTCCCGTGTAGCTAGCGTCTTATGGATTTTTTCCCCAGGTGATGCTGGTGTGTTAGGAAACAAGAAGGCAGATAGGCTGGCCGGTTCTGCACCACTTTGTAGTGACTCGATGTATGACAAGTTAGATGTGGTGAGAGCCCTTTGGGAGTGAGGGTTGAGGCACAAATACATCACTACTCTCTGAGGAGAATGGCGCTGCAGGAAGTTATCAGGGGATCTGGCCAACGCTCAACACTCAATAGAAGGGCGAGACAGATGTAAAA